TCACTGGGGGCATGGCTTTGAGGTATATATTTTGTATCTCTAGAGTAGAGTCTCTCTCTCAGCTTTCTGATCATCTTGTGAGCTGCTTTCCCTCTACCAGAATGTTCAGCCTCACCTCAAACCCAGAGGAATGGAGCCTGCTTTTTGTGGACTAAGACCTCTGAAACCATGAGCCCTCAAATAAATTTTCTCCCCTAAAATTGTTCTAGTCAAATATTTTAGTCACAGCAGCGAAAATCTGACCAAAACAGCTTTCATTTCTTTTTCATTTTTGAATCCAGTTTTGCTGGAAATAAGATTCTTTCAGTACTTTGAATCTGCCATTCTGGTGCCTTATGCTCTCCACTTTCCTATAAAAAGTCAGCTGTGAAGACATATTGGGGGTTCCTTTGGATTTGAAAGTCATTTTCATTTACCGCTTTTAAGATTTTTCTCTTTGTGTTTATCTTTGAAGATTTTTTCTGTGATGAGTCTGTGTGGATCTCTTTATGCTTTTTTGAGCTTTGTGGATTATCAATTAATTTTTTTTCATTAAATTTATAGTGTTTTCAGCCATTATTTCTTCATTTTTTTCCTGCTTTCTCTCCCCTCTTCTTTTGTTGCTCCCCTGATGTGATATTTGGTGCAGTTATTGATGACACACTAATTGATGTGTAATATAGTGTTCGAAGTCCTTTTCTCTGAGTCTCTCTCTTCATTCATCCTCATACTTTATGGCTCTTTTTTTTTTTTTCTGCAGATTGCATACTCTCCAAAGAGCTAGCTTCAAGTTTGTTGTTTTTATTTCTGCCAGTTCATATCTATGGTTTAGCTCTTGTAGCGAATTTTTCATGTCAGTAATTATATTTTTTAGTGCCAGATGTCAATTTAGTTCTTTGTTTTTAATTGCTCATCATTTTTTTCCCTCTACATGAGGCAGTATGATGATTTCCATCAAACTTTACTTTCTAAATCATGGTTTGCTTTAGTTCTATTAATATGTATGAAATAGCCATTTTGAGGTCAGTGTCTGTTAAGTATATCATTCAGGCCTTTCACAGACATGCTGCCAGTGCCCCCACCACACACACACACCGTTTTCGAGTCACACCTTCCAGTTTCTTTGCATCTCTCATATTTTTGTTGAAATGTTTTCATTGTAGAAAATATACTCCAACAACCCAGGACACTGATCCTTACTTATATGGGACTTGTTGATTTTTTTTTTGTTGTTGTTTTTATAAAATGTTATTTGGCTTGACTGCTTTATAAAGGTTCATTTCCTCCCACATCCTGAAGCCTCTGAGGTCACTTCTGAGTGTGGCCTTGAGCAACTGCACAGTGACCCTTGGATAACAGTGCTTTCAACAGGGCTGTCTTTCTCTTTTCCTGATCTTCTGAGTAGCTGTCTGCTTTTTGTACAAGTCACCTAACTATTGGGCTTGACTACTTATAACCTGGTTGCTCTACTATTTTCAACAATACCTTGAAATATCAATTTCTCAACAGTCTGACTCAATTAAAAGTAAAACACTTTGCAGATATAGCATTTGAAGTCATTTTTGTTTTCTTTTTCATTTTGTTCTGACCCCAGGAGACCTCTTCTTAGCCATCTCCTTTCCTGCTACCTGATAAACAACGAGGGTCTACAATCTATTTAATTTCTCTCATTGTTCTCCAAAGCACCCTCTCCCTTGCCCTTTTAAGTAAAGTCAGTGTCTCCCTGTTGGGACAGCTTAAGATTTTAAAAGAACTATTTTTTTTCTTTTTCTATTTTTTTTTTTTTAAATGCTTTTCCTGGGAAAAATCTTAGAGCCACATAGATGGTGGCCTGTTTCTCTCAGAGTGACACTGTTCTATAAGTGGGGCTCTTGGAAGTGTTAGTATCCTCTAGTCTTCTCCTGTTGTAAAGCCTCTGGTCTGTGTATGAGCTGGGCCATGGGTACTCATGTATTTTCTTTCTGCTGCACCAAGAGTAGAGCATCTTTTCCTTCAGGTGGTATTGAATGGAAGAAGAGAGCCTCCGATCTCTTGACTGCTGTCACCTGAAGTTCAGCCTCTACAGAACAAAGGTAGAGGAGATGAGAAATGCTTGTGGCCTGTTCTTCCCAGGGAAGCACATTATCCCCTGTCTGAAAGCCGGGAAGGGAGGAGCCTCATTTTTTAAACCAAGCTTTCCTGCAGTGCAGCTTCCATGTTGAACTGGCAGGGATCATAGAGGGAGGGAGCAGATCATGATTCAACTGTGACAGACTCCCACTGTTCTCATCAAGATTTAGTAGATTTTCTTGAATAAATATTTAATTACTGTTTGCTTTTAGGACAATTTCTAGAGTCTCTAAGTATTTATTTTTTAATATAAATTTTAAAAAAGACTTTTTAGGACAATTTATGGAGGCTTTAAATGTTTATTTTTTAACATAAATTTTTAAAAGATTTGTCCCTGTGATTATTTCATCATTGTGTCCACAGAGCTCTTCATCTGTCATCCTGAGAGTAGACTGCTTTATAGTGTTAGATTTAATTTTCATTTTCTTAACAAAGAACCACATTGGATACATTTTCAAAGGCTTATTCACATCTTTTGCTTTTTTTGTTGTTTGATTTTTGTTATTGTAAGTACAAGTTCTTTAAAGAGTCTAGAAATAAGCACAGCATTTAATATATAAACTATAATATTTTCTGACATTCTGTGTCTTGCTTTCTACTCTTAATGATGGCTTTTAATCAGGAAGTTCTTAATTTAATGAAGTCCAATTATAATTTTTTAATGGTTTGTGGTTTTTTTTAATCCTTTAAAAGAAATCTTTGCTTTCTCAAAGATTCAGAAGATATTCTCCTTGTTTGCATCTAGAAATATTTTATTTTTAAAATTTAATTTTATATGATCCATTTTGAATTTCCTCTGTTTATAAGATGGGATTCATTGAACTCTCGCTAGAGATCCAATGGAATAAGTACCATTCATTTAAAAAAAGTCCTTTTCTCCCTGAATTTTCCCTTTGTCATGAATCAAGTGGCCCTTTATCTGTGTGTCATTTTCTGTGCTCTTCATTCTATTCCATTGGTCTATGTGTGTAGTCTTAGGCTCAGGTCACATAATTTTAATTACTATTACTGTACAGCAAACCTTGAAATCTGATAAGTCCTAGAGATTTTTTTTTTCTTTTAAGATTTCTTTGGCTATTCTGGGGCTCTTTGCATTTTCACATAAATGCTTATCAATTTATAAATGTACATACACGCATAGGCACGCATACCTGTTTGGATTTTGATCAAACTTTTATTGACTTTATATCAATAAGAATAATTTTGATATTTTAATAAAATTAGGTCATTTAATAAAATTAAGTCATCTAGTCCATGGATGTGGTATATGTCTACATTTATTTAGGTTTTTTTAAATATTTTTTTAGTTGTTGATAGATCTTTATTTTATTTATTTATATGTGGTGCCGAGAATCAAACCCAGTGCCTCACACATGCCAGGCAAGTGAGTTACTGATCAGCCCCAGCCCCAGCCCTGTTTAGGTCTTTTTAAACTAGTCTCTGTAATACTTTGCAGTTTTCAGTGTCTTGCACATCTATTATTGGACTTGTTTCTAAGAGAATTGATTTTTTTCCTTATTGCAAATAGTATTAATTTAGACTTTTAAAATTTTATTTATTTATTTATTTTTAAAGAGAGAGATTGAGTGAGAGAGAGAGAGAGAGAGAGATGGGGGAGAGAGAGAATTTTTTTTAATATTTATTTTTCAGTTCTCGGCAGACACAACATCTTTGTTTGTATGTGGTGCTGAGGATCGAACCCGGGCCGCACGCATGCCAGGAGAGCGCGCTACCGCTTGAGCCACATCCCCAGCCCTAGATTTTATTTTAAATTGTTTTTTTTGTTAAAATATCAGAATACACTCCATTTTCATGTGGTGACCTAACAATCCAGCAGCCATGCTCAATTCATATATTTATTCTTACCGTCTGTAGATTCTTTGAGATTTTCTATGTATGTGATCATTTCTGTTATTGTCATAGATATTTTTCTTCTTTTGTTATTTCTCCACAGTAGACCTATTTTGTTTTGCTTTATTTTTTGGTGCTCAACTAACATTTTGTTGTTGTTGTTGTTATTGTTGTTGTTGGTGTATATTTCAATGGTTAGACAAGCATAAATCCAACTGTGGATTGCAATGTTACTGACAAAAACTAGGAATGAGTCAGACAAGAGTTTATTTAATTCAACTTATAACTTCCTGTTTTCATAAAACCTCAAGATATCTCTTTCTGGCATGGATGGCCTTATTCCAATATTGACTCCTTTATAACTCTGTTTTGTCCAAATTCACAGCTATATCTTTTAATTCCTATAAAAATTTATATTTCTCTTTTCTCACTTTATTTCTCTTTTCTTAAAATGCCATATGAGAGCTGGGGGCCTATCTCAGTGGTAGAGTAAATGTGTACCATGTACAAGTCTCTAGGTTCAATTCCTAGCATTTTCAAATTAAAAAAACAAAAACAAAAACAATAGTAACTACTTCCTCTACTATGTTAATAAGTAGAAATCTAAATCTAGTTTTTTATAATCATTTGTGTATGACATAATCCATTATAGCCACTAAAAGCCTTTTCCTGTTCAGGCCAAAGGATTCGATTGACTGCAGTATCTTACTAGAATGATTGCATTCTGATAGCTTGGTAGCTTTGTACGCAAACTATCCTGAGTCAAGTAGGAGGAAACATTTTGTAACATGTGTTATCAGAAAAATTCAGATAACAAAATTTTTACAACAGACTTTAACTCTGTTATGGTTTAAAAATTAGTCTTGAGAAGAATTGTAAAAGGTATATATATATATATATATATATATATATGTGTGTGTGTGTGTGTGTTTGGAATGTCAACTTAGTAATTCTAAGATTACATTCCCACTCAGCTAGGAGTAAGATCACGGACCACATTTGTTCTGTGTCTTGTGTTGAGTTAGTGTTTAGTAAATAATTTTTGATAGATTTGATGAAAGATGTTATCCCCGGGTCAATTGAGTGTTCTTCATAAATTCAAGGGGATCCTCTTTTCCACTGCATCTTCAAGAGAACTTCTTGATTCCTTGGATTCTTTTGATGCAAGAGAAGATGATGTGTTTCTGGTTTCCTACCCCAAATCTGGTGAGTTTATTTCAATGCATTTTTAATGTAGGAATGCAATAATAAATAAAATAATCATTTTTGCTCAGCATTTATTTTTTGGAATTTTTCCACTGCTTATTTTAATGAAAAAATTTTGACATTAGAGATTTTTAAAATGTGCTTTGCAAAAGATTCAGTTGGAAAAAGTAAAGCTTTACAAATGCTTGTTTCTATTTTATTCATGAGGACATATGCTGAAATTTATAGTAAGCATAAGATCTATAACATTATAAAGTTCTGATCATAATTTGACTCACGCATAGCAATAATTAAATGATACTTGTTCAATTTACACTTAATGATTGCTTTATAAATAACTGTTTTTCTTCTAAACTAGTAAGAGCCATCAATATTTGTAACATTAAAAAGATTTCACTTCAAAGTTTATTCCCACATGGAGTTGTAGATCCATGAAGGGATGGTTATTATGAATAATATCATTCTGCAAATTCTCAAAATGAGTTATATTGTTTTTGCTTTGACAGCTTGCAAAGGTATATAACATCCCACTGCCTGTTGCTATTTCCAGACTAGTGACCATATAGAGATGGCATATACCTGGTAGCACTAGTTCAGCAACTAAAAGCTGAGCTCCCCTTGAGTTGTGACTGCAGAAGAGTCACCATCTGAGGCCAAGAGGTCCTCCTTATCAGAAGATGTAGAGTTCACATAAGACCAGATATTCTAGGGTGATCATTCTGTTCTTTTTCCACATTTTTTAATTGGTGCATTATAGTTACACATACTGATGGGATTTGTTGTTACATATTCATACGTGCACACAGTATAACAATATAATTTAACAATATCATTCTTTACCATTTCCCCACTCTCTCCCTGCCTCCCGTCCTTTGGTCCCTTTACTTTACTGATCTTCCCAGTGTTAGCATTTTATTTTGGAAAACATTGCTGGAAAGAAATTATTAAATGATTGACTCCAGAATATGTCAGAGTAAAGTTGGAATATAATAGGTTGCTCTGTGAATATATGCAAATTGTCTTAAGTTGATATATTAGTTTAGAAAGTAATCTATGATATTTTAAGTGTTCTTGGAACTGGACATGCACACCTATAATCCCAGTGACACTGGATGCTGAGGCAAAAGGACAAGTTCATTTTTGTAATACCAAAAAAAAAAAAAAAAACACTAAACTAAAGCCAAAGCCAAAACAGACAAACAAAGATTTGGGGATATAGCTCAGTGGACGAGCACCCTTGGGTTCAATCCCCAGTACCTCACCAAACAAACAAGATGGGCCTAAATGTTCTCACAGTAAGTGGCTAACTTACACCATAAGCAAACATATATTGACTTCCACTGGACATAGTGGAGCCTACATGGTGACATCCCCTGCCATCTAAGGCATCAGCTGCCAAAAGGTCTGTCTGGTAGCACAGAGTCATTTATATTCCCTCTCTTTCATCAAAACAAATCAATATGTTTTGTTAAAATAGTCCAAATAGCCATACAATTTAAGTCACATTTGTATGAATACTATAATTATAAATATTTAAGACTTATTACAAATTAAAATAGTCAATATTAAAACAATGCAAATGAAGGTACTATTTAAACTCTTTTCAACTGTAACCTTGTAAATACTGTATCTCATGAAAATTAAAGTGAGATAAATGAAGTTGAGGCTCGACTTAAACTCTTTATGGACATTGCTTTCAAGTTAGCAAACCCCACCCCACCCCACTGCAGATTTCTATTTCTCTGCTCCAATTTACTGTTGTCTATAGAGTGCATCCACCATTTGCTTTATGTCAATGTCAAGTTGTTTTCTTGGGCTGGACAGCTTGGTAGGAGAGCACTTGGCTAGTATATGCAAGGCCCTGGGTTCAATTCTCAGCACCAGGAAAAAATAAAACAACAGCAGCAACAACAACAATAAAACGGCTGATGTTGTATTCTTTCTGGATTCCATGATAGCTTGTATCTCTATGATGTTTGAATACAGCATACATTCATTGTTCAAATGCCTTGTTGATTGCACAAATATTGTGTAATCTGTACATAAAATGAAGGTTCGTGGCTATCTGCAAGGAGGAAATGGAGAAGTAAACATGAACATGAGCAATGGCAACTATGCTGTGGTTGTGCTCTGACAGAGGTAGGAGCTGAATACAGCGTGGGAGCCAGGAAGGGATGAGCAACTGTGCCAGCGAGTGGGGACTCAGAGGTAGTTTATAGAGGACAAAGCTGCATGAGCTCACAGGATGAGTGGGAATTATGTGTGGAAAGATGTGCATGACTTTGTGAATTGAAAGTTTCAGGAGTGATTGGTAACAGAAGAGCATTTTAGCCAAGGAAGCAACAAGTACAGTCTTCAAACCCTTTCACTCTTTAAAATGTGAATCTACTTGTGAAATGAATTAGCGTCTTCAGTGTTTCCACAGGTTTTATGGGTGTGTAATGTGACTATTATAATAAAATTAATGCTTTCATTGCTTTTATCACATCCTAATTTTCTTTATTCATTTCATCAAGAGTGATATTTAATTAAAATTGGATTTCATTTTATCTCTGTGTAAAGGCACTCACTGGGTTGCAGAAGTCATTGAGAACATTCCCAATGCAAAAATAACTATAACAACTCCTATTGAATTGGGAGACATTTCTAAATTTGACGAGCTAAAAACGTATTCTAAGAGAAGAGTCATTCCTACCCATTTGAGCTATGACATGCTGCCGGTGGATATTAAACAAAAGCAATGCAAGGTAAGTTCTGTGGTTAGTAGTTGGGGCTTGGGAGTCTCACAAAGCTGGGTTTGGATTCCTACTTTGTCATATGGCCCAGAAGTGGCACAGTCAATATTGCTTATATTTTAATTATTTTATCTATTATTTTTGCAAAGTGTTATATAGGAAAGGAAAAAACGCCTAATGTAATATGATGTTAGGATTGATGTATGTGTAAGGAACATTTTAAAAGTCTGTTTTGATCAGAAAAAAGAAGAATGTTTGAAAAGCAAAGACAAGACCCACGTAACAGCTATAACACATTTCCAGAAACGAAAGCTTTTCAAACAATGTCAGTCATATTCTAAACATAAAAACAAAAGCAGCCTACCAGTCAAATGTATATGCATTAGAGCAGGTCTTCCCCGACTGTAATTCCATGACCACAACACCTCTGTGCACAAATTAAAGGAAGCACAGTCAACCAGGGGCAAATGTCATAAAGCTTTGCCTTGACTGACCCTCCCTCCCCAATCTGTCAGAACAGGAGAAAGTGAATTAACTTGATTCCATTTCACTCAACCAGACCTTCCAAAGAGACTCTTGCTAAGACAAAGGGAGAGAAAGGGAGAAAGGCAATGCTTTTCAAATATTCTTCTTTCTCCTGATGAAACAGACTGAAAATAGAAAGAGTGAGACAGAAAGAAAAGCAAAGATAGAGACAGAGAGGAGGGAAAGGAGAGAGACAGAGAGATTCGAAGAGAAAAGGATTCAGATTAAACTCACTAACTTTAACTCAGGGTGATGTGGTAACAAATGGCTACCAGATAGGAAGCTATATGTTTTGTGTACATCACAAGAAGGACAAGTGAAGGTCACAGACCCTTCATAAGCAAGGACACTGAACCTCAGATAGCTTTGGACACTTCATATATATACATGCATATATATGTATATATGTACACATATACACACACATTAGTTGTAGTTGGACTCAATATCTTTATTTATTTATTTTTATGGAGTTGGACTCAATATCTTTATTTATTTATTTTTATGTAGTGCTGAGGATCGAACCCAGGGCCTTGACTGTGCTAGGCGAGCGCTCTACCACTGAGCCAGCGCCCCAGCCCAACTTTGGGTGCTTCTTAACCACCACACTAAAGCCTTGAGGTGCAGCCCTTTCAGTGTGACCCTTATTGGGAGCTCAGCCTCCTCTTCCCTGGACTCATGAGAGGTTTCCCACAACTGTTAGTGAGGTTCAGCTCCTGAGGGCTTGGAGTTGGAGAAGCCTCCTTGCCCCAGCAGGGTCCTGGGACAGTAGATTCCTCCCTCCCGTATTTCCCCTGACTCCTAGTTGCCTTCTCTATTTTCTCCTTGATCCTTATTTCTCCCTTTTTATGTTTCTAAACTCTTTCGCATAAAAGTTATGTTTTCTAGCTCATTTTATGTTGTTTTGTTTCATATTTGATTCCCCTCCAGAGTACTATTCTGCCTTCCCTTTATCTCCCCTAACCTCCTCCAGTAATTCTAATGCCTCTAGACTACATTCTCTGACAAAATATGTACTAATAAATGGGTTGCATTGTCTTTCCCAATAGATAGTGCAGACGTATAACTTTGGGCGTTCTCCAGAAACCCTAAAAACGTTTGCTTTTACTAAAATGAATATGTCCAACTGAATGACTCAGGCTTAAATTCTGACACTTTATCCCTTTTTGTTAAGGCAGTGGGTTTTTTATAACTGTTCTGTGAGCCTTAGGGTTCTATGAATCTGCTCAGGAGAAGTCAGACAGGCCTAATGTGTTAGGTTACTCTGAAAGCATTTCTTGGGATGTAGAGAGAATACTGGGTGGGGTGGGGGTAAAGGTGACTCTTCATTCCTGTACACAGCGACCTTTATACATCCCCTCAATTAAAGAAGAACAGACACTGTTCATGTGGACCCACAATACCTGGACTATGAACAGGATAGTTAGGTTGAACAGGATAGTTACGTATGCATAATGACTCAGCTAACTCTTTTAATCTGAGCAAAATGTGTCTACCCTGATTGTCATTTTAAAAGTAAGTGGAACATCTTGTACCCTCAACTCATCATGCAATATTGACTATGATTGAAAATGCACCTATTAAATCCAGCTTCCTATCCTGGTGTCTTGAGGCCTCTTATATAGTCGTAGGTACTCTACACACCTTGTTATAACTCTTACAACATTGTATTGTCAAGTGTATGTAATTATAGACTTCCCACTCCTGACTGTAAGTTTTGAGAGAGCTAGAATCCTTTCTGTCTTGTTTATTGTTATATTCTYTGGATTTCTTTCTTTCTTCTTCTTTTTTTTTTTTTCTTTTTGGTTCTGGAGATTTAACCCAGAGGTGCTTTACCACTGAGCTACATCCCCAGCCCTGTTTGTTTTTTATTTTCAGACAGAGTCTCAGTAAGTTGCTTAGGGTCTTACTAAATTGCTGAGGCTGACCTTGAACTTGCAATCCTACCTTAGCCTCCCAAGCCTCTGGGATTATACAGGCATATGCCACCATACCTGGCTCATTATATTCTTTGGACTGAGGAAATCTCACATTACTTGGTACACAATAGGTACTAAATAAATATTTATTGAATTGAATTAAACTGCATTTGCAGTGTTCATGGAAATTGGGAGGCTCCCTCAAGATTCCCTACTCTTGGGGGGATTAAACCATAGAAAAAAAAATTCTAAAACAGTATTTTTTTCTTTCAATAATAACAGACAATTTATAAGAAATATGAGTATCTGGAAATCAATTTTATATTATGTGGATAACTAAAAGGTAATTTTGTCTCACAAATGAATAAGTTTATATTTTCCCATGTCTTCCCCCAAAAGATAGGACCAAATTTAGCACATAAATGTAGAAAGTGTGGTTGGTAGACTGGCAGTATCAACATCAGCTGGGAGCTTGTTAAAAGTACAATATACCAGGCCTCCTCCTTGACCTCCTGAATCAAAATCTGCATTTTAACAAGATCCTCTAATGACTCCTCTGCACATTAAGTTTTGAGAGATATTAGCCTAAGACAGTATTTAATCATTAGCAAAAGCTATCCCCCTCCAAAAATAATAATAATAATAATAATAATAATAATCAGGATTTGCACAGGTAAGTTTAGTTGCTGTTTACTTTCAGCAAATAGTTTGTACTGGGTTATTTAAGAATAAATTGGTTTTTTAAACAGGTTATCTACATCATTAGAAATCCAAAAGATACAGCCGTCTCACTCTTCCACTACTACAGAGATAACCCCAATCTCCCTTACATTGAAACATGGGCTGCATTTCTGGAGCTGTTCCTCAGAGGAGATGGTAAATATAACAATGATTTTAATATTCATAACATACAGTGAACTTTCTCACTGAAAATGAAAGCATTTTTCCAAGAGTTTAAATGGATCCTAACTGCCTATTTTCAGAACTGTGCTGAAAAGATAATTTTTTCATTTCTTCTAAACAAATTCTTACTTACTTTACTTCTCTACAGTCTCTCTTATCTCCTAAGGGAGTAATATATTGGTGATTATTTACTGAGCTGATTTGAGTGTTTTCTAAACAGATTAATTCTATATAACCAACACCCCCAACCCACCCCATATACCAATAGTCTTTCTCTTTTTTTGGTGAAATAATTATGAAGATAAGAAGCCTGAAATACCTTATATATACCTGCCTAGGGGGGAATAAACATGAAACAACAAAAAGTATGCTCATAATTTCCCCAAATAAACCAATAAACAAATTGTGAGAGAACTGATTTCATGAAAACTAACAGCCATTTATCTTGAAAAACACCACCATGAAACATGATTGAGCTGCACGGTGCACATTGGTTCTGCCACCACAAGACCTTTGAATTTATTCCTCTCCCCTGGACTTAGTGGTGTCTGAAGCACTTAAAAAACAAACAAAAGAACGAACAGCTATTCTGAATTCCCAAACACATGTTAAGCCAAAATAATAGGCCAAGGCACTGTAGACTTTTAAGAGACGTGAGTTAGAGAGGGTGAGTCTTCAGAGAGCCCTCTCTCTTCCTGGAGGTAGGGTAGGTCTTTTTTAATAGCTAATTTCCCTAGGAAATTTTTCAGCCTTTAGTTTCAGAGAGGACTAGGTAATTGTAGCCTTAATCCCTGGCTCCACATAGTACTTTTTTTCTTTGTTTCACTCCATAGCGTATGGAAGAATATGTTCTGCTCACAGTATTTCCTCTTTCTGATCTGCTTTTCCTGCTTAGCTAATGGCACACATTTAATGGAATCATGTTGCAGGAATGACAGGTACTTATCTGGTCCAAATACCCACCTGATTTTGAATCACCCTATGACATCCACAAGAATTGTATAAGTTAAGCTTAAACATCTTAACCCTGGCAACAGGTTCGCCAACCCCCTAACACTCTGCATTTCCTCTTGGCACTTCTCAGATGTTTTCTTTTTTTTTTTTTTTTTTTTTTCTTACCATTTACTTGTGCTTACCATGTGATACACTTAGGTAAGTGCTATGCAAACATTCTCTCATTTCATTCACACCAGACACCCTACGAGGTAGCTGTTATTATCCTCATTTTACAACTGAAGAGAAAGCAAACCTTGAGAAGCCAAGCAATTTGTTCACAGATGCATAACTAATAAGGAGCAAAGCCTGGGTTAATTTCAGGCATTTGCTCCAAAATCTTTACCCTTAACCATTGTGTCATTTGTTCAGGAGAGAAAAAAACTACCCCTGATCATAAATTCCTCTTGTACATGATAGCCTTCTAAATATTTGAAGATAGTTGGCATGCCTCACTTCACCTCAATTCCATTTTTGGAATAAGCAGAGTTTAAATACATGACTTTTTTTTTTTCCCAGAACAGACTTGGAGTCTGCTTTTCCTCGAGACAAGAAATGCTGTTTTTGTCTGCCATTCTCACATACTGGGGTTCCCAATCATTTCCACTGCATCAGCTCTAATTTGGCCACTCTACCATTATGCAGTTTCCAGAAAGCAAGTATACTTTAGGTGTGATCTGGTGAGGACTTCTAGCACTATTCCTATTCTAGAAGTTATTTTTCTATCCATGTAACCACAAACATGCCAGCCCAGACCAGAGTACAGTGAGGCTATCTGGCCCTAGTGGAGCCCTGGAGTATCCAGGAGGGACAGAGTATAGTTGGAAAAAGTATTCCAGATGATTCTCTGGCACCTTCTTGGGTGAATGAACAGATTTTTAGTTGTAAAGGGATTTTATCTATAAACATTCTACAACTGAGTGATTCAGCCTAGGCAAACCCTCTCACCAACAGAAGAACAGAAGTTGTTTTTTTTAAAAAATCTATTGGGTTGGGTACAAGTAGCTTCTGTTTTTACTATTTGTAAGTCATGGTTGTTTGTGTTCATGTGCATGTGTATTATATGTATGAGACTATTTTTTTTTCAGGGATGTTCTTTAGAAACTCTTTGAAGGGAAGATTATTTCTCTTACTATGGTGTAGTAGGAAGAATAGGTGACAGAGGCAGAAGATCTGGCATCAAGTTCTGACTATATTTCCTGTGTGGCTTTGGATTAGTAGCATAACTTTTCTGAGGTCTATACTTTAATATAAAAAGAAGGCTAATCAAATGATCCATTTTGTAAGATTATTTAGAGGTTCAAATTTAAATAATGTGTGAAATGTGCTGTAGAAATCTACTCGTGCATTCTTTCAGAAGGTGTTTAAAGAGTTTCACATTGCCGGGCCTGGGGCTGCAATCCCTGCAATCCCTGCAATCCCTGGGGCTCGGGATGCTGAGGCAGGAGGATAACAAACTCAAAGCCAGACTCAGAAACTTAGTGAGACCTTAAGCAACTTAGTGAGGCCTTGTCTTAAAATTAAAAATATAAAGGCTGGGGATGTGGTTCTGGGCTCTGATTAAGCGCTGCTGGGTTCAATCTCTGGTACCAAAAAAAAAAAAAAAAAAAAAAAAGATTATGATGAAGAAAGAATGAAAGTAAGTTTCACATTAAGGCAGAGCTGTTGTTAAGTAAGGATTTATCTAAAGAGGTTATTTTATAACTAAGGAGTTATGATATCCTGTATCTATCCCTAAATATAGACATGGATTTTAGTTATATAATGCTATATTAAAGAGACATATTAGACATGTATCTAATCATCTAATATGCCTTTCAGATAGCATATAAATACATTTTAGCTTTTCAAGTTAAACAATAACTAGAAATTGTGTTCTGGTAAAACCATAGCAGATTAATAATCTCAATAAAATTAATGCCTTAGCATTCAGCTCTTTTTTTCTCCTCACAGCCTTCTCTCCGGTCTTATATAGATACTCTGTTTCCTAGGCCACTTCGTCCCAGAGAGTTTTGTTTTTCTTCACAAATACTTCATCTTATGAGAACTTCCTAGAAACTAGAAACTAAGACATTCATTATAAATGGAGTAGAGGCACAAGGTTTGCAGAAAGTGTGGCAGGATCGAAAAGGCTGCTGGGAAGAAGGGAATGTTAACGTAGGACAAGTGGCTTGCTTAGGGAGCCTTGGAGCCCTAAGGTTGGAAACAGGAACTTGCAGTGATGCAAATACTGACTTGTATGCATTTCTCCAGCAGCTCTCAGCAAAAATGGGAGAGAAGAAAGAAGTTGAAGTGTTTTGATTCAATTCTGGGTGTTTTTTTTTTTTTTCCTAATTGTTCTAAATAAGCAATAAGGCAACAAGGAAACTGAAGAGATAGGCAAGAAAACAGAGGAAGAGAGTGAAGACAGAAAGGGATAAAATATTCAGAGTAGGGCTCGGGAGGAACTGTCCATTTAGTCACTCGAGCAGATGGCAAGAACTGAGAGGACCCAGAGACTGTGACCTGTTAGGAAGAGCCTTCAGTGACTTTAGGAGAGAGAACAGGTTGATTTATGATTGAGATAAGGAGGGAAAGAATGATTTATTGAAATGAGTCTCAAAGAAGCATGGATTTAATAGGAAGGAGGAATTCTGGAATTTTCTAGGAGGCCAAATGGCTCACTCCCCAGACCCTAAGACACATGGGTTGAATTAGAATAAACTTGTCTTCTCAGGGACATTTGGTAAAAGAATTTTAGATAGCAAAGGGCAGGCCCTGCAGGCAAATATTAAAGCCAGGAGGTAGTAGGATAATTCTGAAATTAAATGCAGGACATGGAAAAAAGAGTTTTCCATAAAAGAAAGATTTCAAACCTCTATTTTGAAAGCTGATTTTTTTTTTTTTTTAGAGCTAAGATCCATTAATGACCTGGATAATTAAACAATTCTGATTTAAAAAATTAATCCAAACTTTAAGGTTTTTAGCCTATCAAAAACATTTTTCAGATATAGTACTAACACACTTTCCTGTATTGGTGAAGAAGGAGCAGGCTGCCAACTTTTTTCAATTTTATCTGACTAAAGTCCTTTTGGAACATGGTGGGGTGTAAATTAATTGGTCAACAATGAAACAGCTGGCTTTCAAATTGTGATCAAGCTATGCTGCAACATCTACTCTTAAATGTATTCTGAGGCATGTTGCAATACATTTTCTATGAAAAACCATAGTGAGCAAAGTCAATTACACCTAATGGTGAGTAAAACTCTGGGTCTGTCTTTGCCCAGCCTCCTAGCTGCTGAAGCTCAGCTTCCCTGTCCTGTAGTATAAAGGAGTCCCTGGACATCAACAACTCCAGGCATGATGTCACCTGGAGGATGTGGGTGTGGGAACTGGCAGGGCAGGTTGTGTCCATGATGTGGTCTAAGGCACCAGTGACTACAGTAGTTAACTTCCTAAATTTGCATAACAGAAAATCAGTCTTCTTCCTACTAGGTGTTTGCTTCTGGGAAAAGAATGACCATTCTTAGAAGACGTATCCCTTATCAATGAAGTGGTACTTTGGGTAATTTAGTAAGAGGTGTTTCGCAAGTCACTGAAACTGCTAGAGACTGCTGATAAGTAAAAGGTGTGTCCAGGAAGCTCTCTGAGGAGCTTACTGTAAACCCTGTGGGTCCCCGGGGGTAGCAGGCTGACTCTTTGATTACATCACGGTAGTCCTGGAAATTCTTGTTTTAAAAATACACATGGTTATTTTCTGCTCTTTGTTTCCTCAAAAGCTGAAGCCATGAAAAATTGCACTTAGTTTGGAGTTAATTATACTTCAATTTATTCAAAGCTTTAATGTTCAAAACGTCTAGCAAATGTCTGGCAGACACTAATGGCTTAATAAATGTTTATTCAATGAATCAAAAGTCAGCAGATCTTCAGGAAAGCAGTAGAGCAGCTCTTTTATACTTATGGTATTAGCCAGAATTTGAATATTGATTGGTAAGGATACATGGAAGAATGTATATGCAGTATTTTAAATTACTATGTTTTATACATTGTGCTTCAAACTAGTTGGCTTCATGAAATGAAATAAATAAATTTTATTTTTAATCACCATTGTCAAAAAGGTTATTATGCATCATAATATTTTGCATTTAAACCCTTGGAGTTTTTTTTCCAAGGCTGTTAGTTAATAACAACAACAAAGAGATCATAAATCTCCAAGGCTGATTTTTCAGTCTTGAACTAACATGTGAATAGAATCTTTTTTAAAGTTAATTTTATTTTTTTTGTTCAAATTAATTTTAACTGATACATAAAAACATAATCATAAGAATTTTTTAAAAAGAAGTTTGTAAATATTTTTGGAAAAACCTATAATTATGAAAACATGTCACTTTATAGGAATAAATTCTCATTGTTTCTATATTTCTCCCAAGAACCAAAATGGTGATCAAAAAACTATCTTGAGAAAATGTGTATCTGTATTTCTGCTCCTTCTTTCCCTGATGGTAAAAAAAAAAAAAAAAAAAAAAAAAAAAAAATGTTTTCTAGAAATAAGGAAAAAAAGCACCAAAGACTTATTAAAAGATGTGGCCATCCAGCATCATATCATAGCATTATATTTGTCAAAATAATAGTGAAATCAAGCTCTTCTAAGGAAAAGTCTTACTCCAGAGTCTGATAAGTACATGCCTCACTTTTACTGCTTCCTAAGGGAAAACCCCATGAATACAAAGACATAATTTTTAATAATACCACAACAATTCACTTTTTTTCCAGTTGTGTATGGATCCTGGTTTGATCATGTTTTAAGCTGGGAAGAGCACAAAAATGATAATGTTCTAATTATATTCTATGAAGAAATGAAGAAAGTAAGTCTTCCCTAATGTTTCAGTAATCAAAATTTAAATCAAATTAAGTTAAAACAAGAAGTCAATCAATTGAATTCTGCTTTTTAGGTTTAAGGGAATGAATTTTGTGTTTTGACAAGACTTATACTTAATTTGTTTTTAAATTTTGCTTATTGCTCAGGATTTTTTTAAAAGTTTAAAGAAAATAACTACTTTCCTTGGTATGCATGTGAATGACAGTGAAATTAATAACATTGCTTGGAAAACATCCTTCAGTGAAATGAAAAATAAAACAGTCAAAGAAAGCCATGATCCAAATCATACCATCTGTGCCCTCACATCTGAGAGGAACCTGGTATTTAGAAAAGGTAAGCCAGAAGGAGATGTGGTAACTCATCTGTCTTTGGAAGTACAGTTGACCCTCCATATGTGCATCTTCCTCATCAGTGAATTGAGCCTATAGCAGATGAAAATATTTGAAAAAAAAAATTGCAACTATACTGCATGTGTGTAGACTTGTCATTATTTCCTTAACAACTGGGTATAACAACTATTTAGAGAGCATTTACATTGTACTGAGTGTGTCTAGAGAGGATTTAAAGTGCAAGGAAGGATGTGCATAGATAGGTTATATGCAAACACTATGCCATTTGATATAAGGGATATCTTGTGAGGATTTGGGTATTTTGGGGATGTCCTAGAACCAATCCCCCCTGGGACAACCAAGGGACAACTGCAGTTCCATATTTAATCTTCCATTTTACCTTTCCATTTCTTGTGTAATATATTGCACATTGTCACCCTTTGGTGAATGTTTATTAAATAAGATTGTTGAATTGTGTTATTTCCAGAGTTGAGATGTCAATGCCTGTTCAGGAGTCAACTGAAAGATAGACATAGGAGTTAAACAGATGGAAATAATAAAGCTCTTTGAAGAATGTGCCTCAGGTCTGCAGCCTAGTGCATTTGCTGACAATTTACCCTGAATTATATAAACATATGCACTTAGTTACAGCCCATCAAGGGCCATTCTTTCCATTCCCCAGGCAAGGCGCTGGAGCATGGTGGTGATCAAACACACCAGTCCTCTCTTAAGTGAAAAGAGTTCATGAATGTGGATGGTATGGTTCCCCAGATACCAACCAGGCAACTCATCCTTCAGAAGTAAGGAAGGAGTAGGGAAAGAAGCTGGGATTGTTAATCAAGGATGGTCCTCTGCTTGGAAACACAAAGAGAAGAAAATAAATCTTCTCCACTAGTTCTTCAGGTTTAAGTAAGGAGCAAGTGCAGGTACATCTGGATATAGAACTGTTTTGAAGTCTGTGTGATTTTTATCCAGATATAGGGGGAACCAGGTGAATATCTGATGAGATGGGAGGTGAAAAGGGGGTACGGGAACTAAGGGCCCCTCTTCTAAGAGGTTAGAGAATAGAGGGTAGGAGGAAGGGGATGTGGGGCTTGAGAGAAAGGCAGGAATAAGTAAAATATTAGGAGGGGTTGAGAGAAGAGGTGAAAGAAAGACAGCAGAACTTAGAAAAAGATCCACATAAGGAAGGCAAAATAAGCAAAGAGAAGGGAAACCAACCAACCAACCAAAAAAAAAAAAAAAAAAAAAGGAGACAGATCATGGTAAAGAGGAAAGTGAGAAATGAGGAAGTTCTGATATTTAGTGGTGAACAGTGTTTAATTACTACCCTTTGAGATTCTGATTAGCAAAATAATCAATATTCTCACATCTTATCCTACAAACATGTGAAATATTACTGTAATGGGAAAGGAATTATTCTCTGACCTGCCAGGCTAGTAACCCTCGCAAATATCCTGTATGAAATCAGTTCACTTATCACTGTAGCTAACAACATTAATTATAAAGCATTTAAATTTAGTGTTAAAAGTGTTTCCTTGTGTTGCTCTAAGCACAGAAGGTTAACAGTGGGAACCTCCTCACTGATACTGTCACCAGGAGGGCCTGTCGGTAGATCTGTTGTACACAAGGAATTAAACACAAGGAGGGCCCAGCAGTAGTGCACTTGGCTCCTGCACTGGGTGGATGAGGTGGGAGTTGAGGATCTATCCTTCAGAAATGCTCACTGCAGGGAAACTGCTCAAGTCACTGACTTAGACTCCTTGGCACACAGAGAAAGTCTTTACTTTACAGAGGAGAATTTGTCCTTGCAGTTGTCTTTACTTTGATATCCCAAATTAGAGTGATGTTCTAGGAAATGACGAGGTAGCCATGGAGATGACAAGTAGTGATCCCAGTATCCCAAGTCCAATGACCTGCACATACTCAAAGTTCCAGGAGAATTATGGGAGTGTGGAAAGATGTATGGCCAGGAGGCAGGCTGCAGTATTGCCCATGACAATGAAAATCTAGAAAGCACTGAAACAGACACTAATCAGAAATTTAGTTACATGCATATAGGAATTTACTATGGCGTATGAAAATTACAGAAAATTATGCAGGCAAAAGTAGGATTTATTGAGTGCTTACTATGTGCCAAGCACATTACTTGGTTTATCTTTCTTATACTTGACAATAAACTTGAGGATTATATTCATGTTAACCCTTGTATAGAGACATCAAGTACCTGAATAACTTTTCAAAGTCATGGAACTAAGACAGTAAAGTCAAGACTTGAATTCAATCAATCAAATTTATTTGAGGTTTCTTTTCCTTAATGGAAGGTTCATCAGTTTTGCTTATCTTTTCAAAAAACCAACTCTTAATTTTGTTAATTTTTTTGGTTTTCTCTATTTCATTTATTTCTGCTTTCATCTTTATTATTTTTCCCCTTGTTCTAGCTTTGAGCTTGTTTTTTTTTTCCCTTCTTTTTCTAGTTGGTTGAGGTGCAAAGTTAGGTTGTTTATTTGAGATACTTCTTTTTCAGTATAGGTGTTTGCCATTATTAATTTCCCTCTTTGTTTTGTTTCTAATGTATTATCTAAGTTTTTGGTGCCGTGGTTTTGTTTTTTTGTTTCAAAACATTTTCCAATTTCCCTTTAAGTTTTTGATTGATCGTCTTGTTCTATGCAACCATAATTTTACTGTGCGATTATGCATACTAACATGAAAGATGATCAAAGTATAACATGTGAAATAAAAGCAGGTTATGATGTTGTGATTTTTAAATACAGTTTACGTGAATATCTATGCTTGCAAAGAAAAACATCTGGGAGAATGCAGGTCAGCATATACCGTGTTAGCTGAGCGTATTTCCTTGACTTTTTTTAACCTTCTTTGCTCATAGGTATTTTCTTAACCTACATATATAATTACTATATTATTTTTAGAATTTTTTTCCTTAACAAAAGAAATAAAGGAAGTCCAAAGAACAAATCAGAAATTAGAAACAAGACAAGCAAACAAAAGTCATATTAAATGAAGATTAAAATAGTGATCCAGAGGAGCTGACACTGAGGCTGGAAGGGAAAACCAGAAAAAGACCAAAGGATATTGGTTGTTCGGTAAAAATAATATTGCTCTTCCATGGGCCAGGCATACTGACCTCATGGAGCTGGCCTTGTGTCCAAGTTGGTGTGTCTTAGAGGCAGTGTCGTCAGTGTCATTTCCTGATTGAGATCTTCCTTCTGGTACTGCTCTCCTTTCCATCTCCTACCCCCACCCTACTGACAATACAAGAATTTCTCTCTGCTCCTTCTTGAACTCAATTTTTGAGGCAATAATTCACAACATCAGAAATTCCTAGGTTGTTTTATGTTGCTTTGCTGTAGGTGTAGGTGACATTATTTGGCATTCGATTAAGCTGCAGGCTGTTTATTGAACACCCACTCACTAGAAACAGCTCAGCATTGAATCAGGAACTATAGGATTACACACAAATGATACATCACAGTCCCTAACCTAAGCTAATGGGAAAGAAAACATGGTATAAAGCAATTAGAAATCTTGGGTTTAATGATATTTCATTGGCTTCAATACCTGGAGACCCCAGAGGTGCAGCTTGAAGCCAGAAAACCATGGTGTGCAAGATTCAGGATTGGGCTGTGTCACAGGGGGCATAAGAGAGGTGAGAAAGGCAGTTTTGAGGGGACCCTCTTGTGGCCACGCTGAGAAAGGTATTTTGTATGATCAGGAGAGGCTCAGGGACATTGTGAGGTATATACCGTATCTCCAGATATCTTACATTGGAACTCGATGTTTATATTTCTAATTATCCATTATTCACTTTGTAAAATAGATTTCCTTAAAATGAGACAAATTACCCACCCACCCACACATCTTCTGCTATCTAGGTGCCCAGGTAGGGAAATAAGTTAAATGTTCTTATGCCCACATTGTCTGATTTAGTTTTATTACATTTAGATTAGAAACTTCTTTGCCTGCTAGAGTAAAACCTTATGATGTTTAAGTATTTTCAATCTTTCTTTCCTTTTAAGAAGTAACTTCTTAAACTGTACAAATTAATATGCAACCTTTGCAGAATAAATTAGAAACAACAGATAAGCAAAAGAAAAATAATCCCACATAATCTTATCATCAAGGAATACCAAATGTTCACATTTTATTATAAAGCTAACAGATTTCTTTTGTGAATACTATACATTTAAATTGGTTCTTGTCTGATACGTTTCCAATTTTTGCAGGAGTGGTGGGTGATTGGATAAACTACTTTACTTCAAAGCAGAAGAGAGTATTTGATGAACTATTCACAGAGAAAATGAAACACAGTGAACTGGCAAGACGCTTGAAGGAGTACTCTTAGTACAAATGGGAAATGAAACCAATTTCCATTTTATGCAGTGCTGAGCTTGGGGAATGTGTAAATATTTTTCACCAATGTAGAAAGCCAATATTTCTTTCCGTGAGAAACATATACTTCATGAATGTGTCAAAAGTGTCCTGTGTGAGAGACTGTTATTATATTCGGTGATAGCAAGGAATTATTAGTAAAAGGAAGTATAACATTTTTGAATGGCTGAATTATATACCTATTTCCAGGATATTCAGTAAGGCAAGGAATTACTTCTATTCAGAGAGAGCATATTACTGTGGTGTTCTACAAGCTGCAGTAATGTACAACAAAAGAGGAGAGGGATTATCTAAAATAACAGATGTCTGAGAAGAATTTATTTTCTGCCTATTTGGACAATCATGACCAACACTTTTATTTCGACATTCTCTGATGTCTGTGTAGAAATATTCTCCAATGTCATAATCATGACAAACATAATCTTACTAAGGTGGAATCTCCTAATACCTGAGCATAATCAAATGACCACATTCCAATATATTGGGAAAAATAAAGAATGAACAGATAACACTTTCACATTAATGTTGGCTTAGTATTTTAGTATTTTCTTTATCTTGATTCAGTTAGTTTACAAAATTTCTTATTTTCCAGTTTTAAAAAGTATAATTTTCCTTGAATCTTTATGATTCTTTGTAGTATTTTGAATATGTATGCTTTCATTCTGAATCATTTTTAACATCAATCTGTATAATTCTCTCTATTCTATAATGAGTATTATTCTATAGGTTTATCCCAGAGGACATTATAATGGAATTTCAGTGAACTTATTTTAAGATTATTTATCACCTACGTGACAACATATAAATTATGTCGTGTTGTTTATATCTGTCAAAATATCTAACTCACAGCTTAATTGCAAATAAAAGTATATATTGTGTATGACATTGAGCTTTGAACTCAAAGGAATGGGTTGACTTAATTTAACCATCATTTGATTCTGTATCTTAGTGTATTATAAACTTACATAAATCATCAGTCACAAATCTGTTGGAGTCTTTTGTGTCAAGTTTATTTTGTAAGAAATTAAATCTTCTTAAACCTTGTGTATACACATTTGTTACAAATAAAATCTATTTTCTTTTTACTTCATGCATGCAATTTTTTTCCTCCAAACTTAGCATTCCTAGAGATTTACTGAGATACTTCCCTTCCTCAAATGAATGAGGTTAGAGAATGACAGGAGCAATCAGGGGTCATCTTTCGTCGTTAGCTTCATCTTCATAGTGGAGCTGAAATCCCTCCTGATATTGATGGCCAGGGAATGACAAAGCCATAAGACAGCCACAGAGATCTAATGAGGCTGGAAATTAAAGAAAATAATGACTGTAGGGTTGGAGGAACCAAATCCTGTGAGACAATATCCCTTCTCATTTCATGAAAATGATTGTTGAAGTCAAGAGAACTGAAGAAAGACTGTATTTGATTGTATTTCAGACCTGTAAGGTAAATTTAGAATCCAGTTTTGATAAGAAATTTCCTAAGATCAGTATTTAAAGGTGTAGCCACAAATCTTAATTCCTAGTTCATTTATCAATTAAAAAGATTTCTGAGTATCATCTATGTGCCAGGGTTCATGGTGGACCATAGGGACACATGATGGAGTGGAAAGAATCTCTGCTTTCAAAAAGCTTACTTGCTAGAGGGGAAAGTTATAGAATAATAATTAATATTTTTAGAAAAGCAAGCATATGAGATGTGCCAGGTCCCACTATATACTATAAAAATAAAATAAGGTCATTTCACGGTAAGTGCAGAGCTGCACTTGGCTGGGGTATGAACCTTCAATGTGAATGAGGACTAGTGCTATCTGAACTTGAAGGCATGACCCAGGTTTAGATTTCACTCTAGATGGGTGAGTGGCTTTGCATAGAGGAGGGAGACATTCTGACAAGCATTTTGAAAAAAAAACTCATCTGATTGCTAGACTTAAATGGTCATGCAAAGAGACAGGGATAAATGGCTATTCCAAATGGTGTAGGTGAGAGAGAGAAGACTTGGACTATGATCATAGAAGTGGGGATGGTGGAAATGGACATTTTAGGGATATCATGGATATCAAGATAGTGAAGCTATTAACAGGAAGAGACAGAAAGGAGTAGATTAAAAGGAACCCAGACTTTTGGCTAATCAGTTCACTATCTGAGAATGGCATTTATTTAGATGTGAGAGCTTGATTGCAAAATGATTTGGGGGGTAGGTGGAGGTATGTGGATAAAAAATTCTACTTTGACCACGCTGACTGAAATATCTATTAGATACTAGGGAGTTATTTCTGAGGACTGCTGTGTTGTTCTTTGGGGTCTAAGGGAGGTTTAAGAAGGTAAGGAGGTGCTAGGTACAGGCCATGGTGCCATGGTGCAGGCCTTTAATCCCAGGGAAGGCAAGAGGATCACAAGATCAAGGGCAGCCTTGGAAGTTTAGTGAGACCATCTCAAAATAAGATAGACCCTTCAGGTTACAACTCAATGGTAGAGGGCTCCTGGATTCAATCCCCAGTAATGTTGGGAGATATGGGAGGTTGTGTCAAATTAGATTAACAATATGGAAATGAGCATCTGTATAATGAATGACCTGGGACTCCTTGACTTCTTTGATAATGGCTGAGATAGTTTCAGGTATAAATCAAGGTGGACTGATCCTGAAAGTCAAAGCCTACAGAAAAAATGTAGATGCTGATTATTGCTTGGCTTACTTCTCTTAAAACATTTTATTATTCCTAACTGTATCTGATGAAAATTAGCCTTAGCCATTCCCTTTACGTTTTCTTCTTCTTCTTTTTTTTTTTTTAATATTTTTTAGTTGTTGATGTACCTTTATTTATTTATTTATTTATTTATTTATATGTGGTGCTGAGGATTGAACGGAGTGCCTCACATATGCTAGGCAAGTGCTCTGCCACTGAGCCACCACCCCATCTCCCCTTTACATCTTCCTAAAAGGATTTTAATAACCAGATTTAAAATCCCTTTCCTGGCTAATGTTTCCAGGAAGAAAGTTTAGAAAAATTACCTTGTCAAAGCTTATTCTGTATCCATGAGTTCAATACTACTAAGAAACAACACCCAAGAATTGTGTCTTGGTGCCCACAAATATAACATTGAAAACTGTCAGTGGTTTTTTTTTTTTTTTTTTTTTTTTATTAAGAGACGACTAAAATATCCTTAAGTGAACACTTATTTTTTCTATTACCTGCTATAAATATCAGATGTAATCACATACCTACTCAACAGACTGACACACCCAGTGAGATTGCCTTCCTCTTTAACTTACATCAACCTGCTGTGTGCTTCTGCTCCTGTGGGCTTAGAGAATATAAAAATAAACTCTGGTAAGTTCTTTCAAATTCTACTGCATGTACTTTGCCCTTTTCCTGGACCATTACCCAGAGAGAAGAAGCAGACACCAGTCAAGGTGGCCAGGTGGCTAAATCAAGGCCTACAATCCTGGAGGCCTGGGGCAGGCCAATTGCCCTGAAATCCTCGCCCACTGGGGTTTTCCCCTTTTTTGGAAATTCTGGATCTCTTCCCCTGAACTCTGACCTACTCCTTTGTTTTCTTACCTCCTTGGATCTTACGAAACAATGTAATATGCATTTCTGCATCCAAACTGCCTCCCACCATCCTGCTATTGATTCCCTCTCTTACTTATTTTTCTCTTTTTCCTTCATTTCTCTGCTCTACTTTTGCAGTCAATGAATAAGAGCTAAATCCTAAAGATTTTTCTAGGGTTTCATCAGACAGTGCTTTCTTACTTCCCAGCATTTGTTGGTACCTTAAAGGTATTTCTCTCCATGATCTTTCAGCTTTCTGAAAGCCTGCTCTGTTAATCCCTGCTCCTTGCTCTCATTATTTTTTCATTTCCCTTTATTGACTCTCCAATGACTCTTCATTTGTATTTTACTTCCCACTCAATCATTCCAGCCTCATGTGATTAAGTAAACATCCATCTCCCACTCTGGTTTGTAAAGTTCTTGCTAATTAGAGTCATTACCCTATTTATTTTTGTCTCTTCCACCAGGCCCAGCCCAGTAAAGCACTCATAATAGATGTTTAACAAATGTTGGTTGTGAGTTGAGTTCATGGGCAAGCTTAAATTCTTCATCTTCTAGAAAACTCAGTTCCAATACTGCAACCCACATGGATCCTATTTTTGTATTCTCCTAGTACTTTGTGTCTGCATTAGTCAATTCTTTTTTTTAACCTAATCATATATTCCCTTCCATTATTGCTTAAAATGTTTCACACTATGCAAGACTTTTCTTTCCAATTTTATTGTAAACTTACAGGATGCTTCTTCAGGGACTGAAGGATTGTATTGACCACAGAAATTTTTCACTAATTGTGTATTGAATGGAAGAATGAATGAATGACTTAAAGGATGAATGAACACATTCCTGTCTCTCATGGACTGGCTCAGCTTGCTGGTCCTGTAAGCATGAATGTATTTAATTCTTTGCTTTTCTTCCACTTTCCAGATCAAACTAATTATAGTACATATAGTACACCATTAATTCTTGCTTTTCAACATCTCTAAATCCATTCTTTTGTAAAAAATTAACTTTATTTTTAATTGGTATCTATCATATTGGTACCTATTAGTAGGGTACCATGTGATGTTTTTATACATGTTTATATTATTATAAGATTAAAGGCATCTGTTTCCTCAAGCATTTTTCACATCTGCATGGCAAAACAAACAAACAAAAAAACAAGAAACAATTACCAAAAAAATTCAAATTCTTTCTTCCAGCTTTTTGAGAGAAACACTTTACAATTACTATATATAATAACTATCTCAATCCAATCTAAGTATAACAAAACACCTTACCAATTCTCCTTCAAACAAAAAGGAAAGATCAATTAAAAATTATAAGAGCATGTGTTTACCACCTATAGGGTAAATAGATCCAATAGAGAGGTCTGTGAGGTTCACACAGTGTATATGTATTTGTG